TTTTGGGAAATAAAGCTTCATTACCAAATTATCTTCATTTAATTTACACATCCAAAATGCTATATAATTATTTTAAATGTTATTCCCTAATTTTAAATACTAATTTATATTAATCTACATAGTTCCATTTCATTAAAATATATCGAACAAAAACACAAGCACCAGCATAAGGCATGAACTTTCAAACTAGTTTAAAATTAATCATTCAAATGTTTTGAGTAATATTATATAGAAACAACTTTCTAGACATTGTGGAAGGGCTGACAAAAAGATGCAGAATAATCAGAAACATTTTTTTCTGAATAAGTATACATTTAATTGAGTTTGTTTCAAAAATGACTACTACAAGTCAGAAGTTTTAACCAAGTAAATGCTTGGATCCTGCTATCACTAGAATGTTTGCCATTAAAAACTCATATTGAAATTTAATCCCCAATGTAGAAATATTGAGAAGTAAAGCCTTTAAGAGCTGATTGTGCCACAGGGACAGAGTCTCATGAATTAATGAATTTATTGGTTAATGGATTAATAGGTTGCCATGAAAGTGGGAGTGGTGGCTTCATAAGAAAAGGAAAAAAAAAAGTCACCTAGCATGTTCAGCCTTCTGACCATATGATGCCCTGTGCAACTTCGGTACTCTACAGAGTCCCTGCCAGTAAGAAGGCTCTCACCAGACATGGCCCTCTCAGCCTTGAACTTCTCAGCCTCCATAACTGAGATTAATAAATTTCTTTTCTTTATAAATTATCTTGTTTCAGCTATTCTATTATAAACAATATGAAATAATAAAACAGATTCAAACCCAATTTTGCTTACTGCTTAAATATTTGAGCTGTAGGAAATTTCAGTGTGATATATTGAACAGTCATGTTGATTTAATAATTAGGTTAAGAGATTTCTATTTGTATAATATAGTAAAAATTCACACATTCTACAGATTTTTAGTATCGTGAATAGCCTTTTCTGCTAACATTGTGTCAGGGAACTATGGCAAACACGGGCACACATTTTAAAGATTGTGTATGAACGGAGACTACCCAAAATTGAATTATTTTTTGGAGGATGAACCCCTTGTGGTAAAAGCTTCCTTCACTAAGTAAGTGTTCTAGGAACGCCTCAGCATCACCTCTGTGCTGCACCCTCTCTATTCACCCAGTCTTGCCCCATGTCACTTTTATATTGTTTCTCTGGGTGAAAAAAGTCCTCAGGGAAATGTTTTCTCGATGTGGTAAAAATAAAACAAACAATGGCAGAAGCACTAAAAGGCATCCAAATTGATGAGTTCAAAACCTGTTTTGAGGAGTGGAAAAGCATCTCGATAGGCATATTGCACCAAATGGAGATTACTTTGATTATGACTAAAGTTTAAATATGTAAGAATAAATATACAGTCTTAATAAATAAATTCTGGGGCTTTGGGGGTGCTCCCTCGTATTAGCATTGTTCTAAAGAAATACCTTAGGCTTGGCAATTTATAAAGTGAAGAGGTTTATTTTGTACAAGAAGCATTATGTCAGTATCTGCTTCTGGTGAAGGCCTCAGGAAGCTGTAATCATGGTGGAAGGCAAACAGAGAGCAGATGTATCACATGGCAAGAGAGGGAGCAAGAGGGAGAAGAGAGGTGCTAGGCTCTTTTTAAACAACCAGCTCTCCTATGAACTAATAGAGCAAGAAGAAACTTATTGTCTACTGTACCAAGCCATTCATGAGGAATCCACTCCTCTGCCACAGGCATCTCTCACTAGGCTCCACCTTCAAAATTGGGGATCACATTTCAACATGGGATTTGGAGAGGAAAGATATGCAAACTATATCAACTTGCTTGATTGAACTAACAATTCAATTTAATTAAATAGTGCTAGAATAATTAAATTGGTTTTGTCTTTAAAGTGTAGGGTGATTATTAGGATTCTTAAAAGTGTTCTTTATTATGTCAGTGTCCTCTTGCCTATAAACTTGGTTACCTTAAACCTCAATTTAATTGATTTAAGTCAATTATAAATTATGACTGGTTAAATAATCTTTTGTGAGTTCTTCCAGCAGGTTGCAAGAAACTTAGTTTCTTCATATTTGTAATTAATTGTGATCAGACCTGGTAAGTAATCAATTAAAATTATTCTTTTGAAGAGTTGATAAGCAAATTAACTAGTGCTATGTTTCACAGAGTATATTCTTCAAGAAAGTGTCTAATATGCAAAATTAAGTCATCATATCCAAGCAAATTATTTTCCTCCCTCCTTCCCTTCTTCCCTCTCTTTCTCTTTTTTCTTTCTTTTTCTCTTTCCTTCCTTCTTTCTTTCCTTCTTTTTTCATTTTTTTCTTCTTTTCTTCCCTCCTTCTTTTCTAGTAGTATTGTTGTATAGTAACAACCAAGTGAAAATAATATAATCATATTTGTCAGTCATTTCATTTTAACATAATTCCATACATATTTTATGTTCTAAATCCTAAATATTTTATTTTATAATAAAGTTGAATTATATCTAAATATCTTCCCTGGGAAGAGCTATTACTTCAATCGTATATATTGTATGCAGACTAATAAATATAGAAGATAGATAGCTATATTTAAATAATGGGTTGTGACAGTGTTTAAAACATGCTAAATATTACTGCAAGACTAACAAATAGAAATTATACATCTGCTAAATGTGCCTTAATATTTTTAATTCATATTTCTTTATACCATAACTCAATCTTTCACCTCCTTTGGGGGAGGGGTCACATAAACCACTGACATTTAAACAAATAACTTTTAGCTTTGTAATAGTAACAGTATCATGGAGTAAAAGGGAAATGCAAAGTTGATTTTCAGAGTAATAACAAAAATGAATTTTATATTACATTTTTTGTGAATGGTGATAGGTATTAATTAATGAAGGAAATATAGACAACATATTTGCATTATATATATTATTTTCATATTATTTTAAATATATAAAATTTATATCAAATTAGAAAATCCATGAAGCATTCATTTCTATAGAAATTATTTGATTCTATGAACTTTCAATTTCCATATTACTTCTAATTGAAAGTTTTCTCTCTTCTTTTTTGTGATGTGTAATTTCATACACAGTTTTCTTCCCTAAGGGAAATACTTGATTTTTTGGATAAAAATGATCTGTCATCATTATTTACTTTAAAGGGCTTTTTACTTTTTTACTATTAAAAGAAACACTGAATACTGAGAGAAAAACCAAGGCACAAGGTATGGCAGTTCAGCTGTTGTGGCATAAATCAATATTTAAAATGCACAACAGTGATTTTTCTTTCCCTGAAAATGGGATTTTTGTTATTTTCTTATTTTATTAAAATGCCCAATTTTGTCTAAGAGTGACGTCAAACTTAACTTGGGTTTCTGATTAAGTTTAGAACTCAAAAATGAGATACCAGAACAGTAATATAACTGCACTTCTATGTTTGATTTCTACATACTGTTGGGGCTGCTGAAGCTGTGAATTTTATGAATGGACAACACCATATTCCTGGTTGAATTAGGGGACACATTGCTTCTCTGGTGCTTGTGCCTTCTACAAAGATTACTGAATTTTTATTTTAATGATTCATTGAAGGAGAAGATTCTTACAAAAAATTCCAAGCGTTCATATCCAGAAAGTCATCACAATCCTCACCGTCTAAATATAGGTAGAAGGGAAAAACACATCTTCTCCACACACCTATTTGCCAGATAGTAGCCTTTGGCTGTACTCGTTTATAACCTAAACTCTTCCATGCATTTAATGCAATGATTTGTGTACTAGAAGCGTATACCTTAACATTATCTTTTTATTGTTTTATTCCTTTCTTGATTAAGAACAGTTTTCATCCTGAGACCACACACCAGATGCACTGATTTTTGCACAGCCTACCCCTGCGTTCAGAGGCCCATCTTCAGATTTCTACCGTGTGCCTCTGGCCCCAGGGGTGAAACACTGCCTGGGTGCATTAATAGCAGGATCACAATGTAAGTGTCAGGATGGTGGCAGCATCACACTTTGACGCCAGCATCCCTGTTTCTTCTGGGTCTCACTACAGAAAAACTAAGGCTAAAGGTTAAAGGATGCGGTTTATTAAATAATTCAAGCCATTAACCTGCAACCTACAAACGGATGGCAGCCTATTAACTTTACACTGCCATGATTCATGTGTGGTGTTTACTGATGCCATAGCCTAATGCCCGCTTGCTTTCCTTGTATTGCTACACAGTAATGTTGGGAGGAAGGAGGGTGAAAAAAGGTGACAAGACCTACGCAAGGGGACAATAAGAGCAGCAGACTCACTTGCATAAAGAAGATTGAAGCCTTCCCTCCCTCCCTCCATCTCTCCGTATAGGCCCCAGTGCACATCTGCGTCACTTACGGGGGAGGAGGAGGCGCTGAGGCAGAGAGAAAATTGGACTGTGAGGACCTTGACAGCTTCACGGGCGGGCTTTTTCTTTTGCCTCCCGATATTTTCTGGAATATATATTTTTTTCTCTTTTACACACTACTATATAAAACCATCCCTCCTCGCACTGCAGAAAGCAATTCGACTTTTTCAGAGATACCGGGCAAGCGACCAGGGCATCCTCGGACAGGCAGGGACAGGGGCGCAGGTGCACAGGAAGGCTGACCTGACGGGGGTGCGCGTCTTCGCGACTTGGGGCTCTTTCTGCGCTCTCCAGCCCTGAACTCTGAGCTGCAAGGACTGGAACGCCGACACCTTCCCGGCCAAGGCTCTGCCAGAGCGCATCCCAGGGAGGTGCATCCAGCGGCGGCCGCCTCCCGAGCCTCGGAGCGCGCAGACCTCCCTCCCTCGCGCATCTCCAGCCTCAGGGTCGCCCCTCCTCGCCATAACCACGGGGTCCCCCGCGCAGGCAGCGAGGACTGTCAGCCCGTGGCGTCCCACTCCCTGCTCTGCTCCCGGCCGGTGGTGTCCCCACGCCCGAGTCCTGCGGAGCTGACCGCAGCTGAGCCGCGCGGCTGTGCCGTCGCGCACGAGTCTTCGCCCGGCCCCGCGGTGCAGAAGGCGCAGCCCGCCCCCTCCTCCGCCCCGGGTCTCCGCCAGCCTCCCCACCTGCCGGCCGGTCTCTACCCCTGCGGGAGCTGCGATCCCTTTGCCTTCTTTGCGTAAAGCATGTCAGGCTCTGGGCGAAAAGACTTCGATGTGAAGCACATCCTGCGCCTCCGCTGGAAACTCTTCAGCCACCCGTCGCCGTCCGCCGGGGGCCCCGCGGGGGGCGGCTGCCTGCAGCAGGACGGCAGCGGCAGCTTCGAGCACTGGGGCCCCAGCCAGAGCCGCCTGCTCAAGAGCCAAGAGAGAGGCGGTGTGAGCACTTTCTGGAAGAAGCCTTCCTCTTCCTCCTCTTCGTCGTCTTCCCCGTCCTCTTCTTCTTCTTCCTTCAATCCGCTGAATGGCACCCTGCTCCCAGTTGCCACGAGGCTGCAGCCGGGGGCTCCCGGGCAGGGCACCCCGCAGCCAGCGAGGACCCTCTTCTACGTGGAGTCCCTAGAGGAGGAGGTGGTGCCAGGCATGGACTTTCCTGGACCACACGAGAAAGGACTGGTCCTGCAAGAGCTCAAAGTGGAGCCGGCCAACTCGAGCCAGGCAACAGGTGAAGGATGTGGACACAGGTACAGTAAGTCTCCAGGGGGCTTCAAGCATCTCCCAGTTTCCATTCGTCTCTCCCCTTGTGCTCTTGTAGTTATTAAGTCTAAAACGTTTCGGGTTGAAAATGTCGGTGAAGAGATGCCAGCCTGGTTTGTATTACCCAAGTTATAATCTCATTCAAGTTTGCTCATTAATTTCTATTGGTTCAGACATACACGACTTTTCTTTGGGGAAGTTTTCAGAGTTGTAACCACCAAATGAACATACATGCATGTTGGTAAATCTTCAAGTGGGATGGTTTTCATGTCTCTGAGACCATAGTGTTCTTCTGGCATCCTCTGTCATTATCTTGTATCAGCTTTTTCATGATCTGATGTGAGGTGAAATGTGCTTTCTACATCATCAGAATGCATCTCATATCCTGGCCTAGTAACTGACTTGGCATATTGTCTAGAACCCCTGTGGTCTGAATCTATTCCAGCAGTAATGAGATGGACAAAATGAGGCCACTGGACAGCAACATCATCTTAGCCTTCTTTCCCCTTCTGAGATACAGTCTTATGCTCTATCTCTGCTTCCCTTTTCTTTTTTTTTCTTTATGCTCACTTTTGCCTTTTTCAGACTAAGTCTTAGAATTAAACTGTTGCTGAGCCCCTTTGCATTCAGCTGTTGCGATCTGCGGGCTCAATGTTGGAATTGTGTATCCTTAGCAAGCAGTTCAGTATTTATTTCTAGTTTATTTCTAACATACACTTGTTTGTGTAGAGTTCTGCTATTTTGAAGACTTACATGGAATCCTTCACACATATAAAACTGAGTTTTACATTTTTAGGAAATTGACTCATTACAATTCTACACCACATCTTTACTAGTTGTGGCAGATAATCAGGATGTGAAAGGATTTGCATTTAGATTCCTATGATATCAGAATACATTATTAAAGAAGAAATAGAGAGGAAATAGAGGAAAGTGATAATGAGTGTGTTACTACAATTTAATTACCACTCAATATAAATTAGAAACAGAAACATCTTGTTTAACTTTTGCATGATTGAATCAGCTTCTTCAAAAGTTGATTAAGTAGCAAACATATATATAAATATATATAAGACAAAATAATGTAAATGTCCTCTGATTATGTTGATGAATGTGGTGTTACAGATACAAAAATAATCCTTAAAATTTGTCAGTTATAAATGTTGCATAGATTTTAATACAAATTTTAAGAGAGAAGCACTTTTAATGTTATATTAAAATATTTACGGTAGTGTGAGATTATTGTTTTAATAAGACAGAAGTTTCATTTGCAATTTTAAAGTATGTCAAAGGGTTTTCTATATATAGGAGACCTAAATATAAGTTTGTGTATTAGAATTTTATGAAGACTTTCATATAAGTTGGATTGCTTAGAAATATTAATGGAGTACTATCTTAAGAAATTATAATAATTTTACAAATATAAAACTAATAATGAATAGCTTGGCTAGGAATAAAACAGTTACTTGACTTAACTTCAAGTCACTTTCGAGTTTACTTCATTATTTCTCTTCACAAAGAGTTCTAAGTGATGAGAATTCTGAAAATAATCTATGTACCAACCAAAATTATCTTTATTCTTGGAATTAGGATGTCTTATGAGACTTTGTACATGTAAAGAATTGAAAATCAGATCTAATTTTATTTTAAAATTCTTATTAATTCTTACATGCTTTAGATAAATTTAGGTTTTTTACTAGACAAATCAGTTAACACTGATTTTGTATTTTATGGATTTGTGTTTCTTAAACTTTCATAGAAAATTGTCTCTGTGCTCATGATTGATTGAAAAGGACACTAGTAAAATTAACAATCAGTCATTATCTATATATAATAGTTTAATGTACAGTGAACGTAGGACTCACTGCACAGAAGAGACAGCATTTCCAAAGTGAAATACTGAGCAAAAATTTTAGTGTACTTCAGAACTTTATGCAAAATAAATGGTAATGTGGATTTATTTTTTTTCTGTGACAACATATCCAGAAAAGCTATGTAGTGTTTACGATGATCAGTGAGTACATAAACTCTGTAAGCCCTTCATAATAATGTTATTGCTTAGATCATTATTATATCACCAAACTATGATGTTACATTTGATATTTAGCATTGTGTTTTATAAAACCTGACCTTTCTGCTAAATTCATCTTCACACATAAGACATGAGTTGGTGCCCTCATGATGTAATCTTTATTCATTGTATTGATCTTCTCTTTATGCAGTTGGTTTCATACTAGTCAGGAGTGTTATTTTAGACACGTATGAGTAGCTCAGTTGAGTAAACCAGCTGTTAGAACAGTAGATAGAGGACATTCAGGGGAAACCTGCCAGTAATCTCAGAAATCTGGAAAGGTGAAATTATCATAGACTTGAAACAAAAAGGTAGGAAGAATATAGTGGTAAATCAATTTATGGCCAAAACTTTATTATATCCTACCAGACTATGCTAAATACCTACTACCATATCCAACTCATACAAGTAGTACACTACTACCTTGATCACATAAAGAATACTAAAAATAATAGGTCACTGATCTGTGGTATTAATCATTAATATCTTTACTTTTTTGTCCAAACTTTGGTTAGAAAGTATATAATTTCCTGGATATTCAGATCACTGTATATTTGTGTTGTGAATATTTTTGTTAAGAAGTCCATTTGTTGTAAACTAAGAAACCAAAGAGGGATATGAGTGGAAGAAGAGATGGCATGTTTTAACTACTTACTTTTTTAGAATCTAAATTCTTACAGAGTGCAGTCATCTCATTCCATGGTTTTCGTTATCATCCACAAACTGTCTTTCCAGTTTTGTATCTCTAAGCCTAGGCCTTCTCCCTCTTCACCTTTAGTCTTACACTCTACCTTTCTACCTTACTTCTCTGGTGGACGTCACAGGGACTATTCAGATATACATGTACAAAAGTGAGCTGGTAATCACCTTTTCATCTTGTTCAGTTTCCTTCTATTCTATAATAGCTCTCCATGCATTAGATCGTGTAAACCAGAAATCCAGGACCATATATGTCAATTTTCTCTTTCCCATCATTTTCAATATTCCTTCAAAAGTTGTTACTTTTACTTAGAAAATCTCCCCTGTATTTGTCCCCATCTCTCTATTTCCATTGCCTGCACCTATCCAGGCTACTAGCTTTCAAGTTGAATTCTGCAACTGCCATCTATATCACCTCTTCTTATTGCCTTTGTCTCCTCTAATCCATTCTTTATATCAAATTCAATACAAATTATAAAGTAAGAAAACTGAACTATTTGTCCACGTCTCTCACTGCTTCATTCTCCCATTTTTCCCTCAAAGGATTTCTACCACTCCCTGATCACAGTCTATACAGTAGATCAACTGATCACAGTCTATGCCATGAGCAACTTATTTCTGAATGATCTTTTTGTCAGCCCTGTACCTAACCTTCCCTTTATCCTCTTTTTTCCAGACATAATACCTTTCTGTATAATTTTTCATTGCCTCTAGGTCTTCAAATTTGTTTCCTCTTCTTGCATAGAGGCTATCCTTTTATTAACTGGGCATTTTCTGGGTTCATTACTACTCATCACTGAGGTATCATACATAAAATCATCATACCTTTCCCAAGGAAGCAGTTCTTGGTAATATTCTCCTGTTTTATGTTCTCAGAGTAACTGCTCTCTACTTTTTTTTTTTCTGTTTCTTAGTGACGCTTATAAACATATATTCATATTTGTAGGTTTTATTGTTTCCCTCTAACTGAATTAGAATGGAGTGTATCTGTTTCGCTCCTCATTCTTCTGTATCATGGAGCAGGGATATAATGTTGAATTAATAAACATTTGTCATAATCATTTTGAATGGCATTGATTAAGAACTTGCTTTTTGCCAGATAGTACATTGAATATTTATATGTGTAAGTTAAAATTCCTAACACCCTATGATTCTGGTACATTTATGTATCTCTTTAGTATAATGATCACATGTATAAGAAGACTGAGATATAGCAAGGGCAATTAATTTTCCCAGAATCACAAACTTGTAAGTAGTATTGCTGGACTTCTAATCTGTGCTGACTCCAGACACCATGTTACAGGCCATTTTGCTCAATTTTCTTCCCCTCCACTTAAATAAACAACTAGAACAAAAGAAGAGGCTACATCTGTGTTTATGGAGGAAGTTTTCTTATTCTCTTGGTGGAAAATATGTTTGTGTTTGAATATTTAAATGAACTTTTGTTTAATGATGGTGAAAAATGCTTGATAAGGCTCACTCAAAGAACACTTCTCAGCCCAAGGTAGAGAACACTCCATTATTTCCTGATTCTGGTTTATCAGTGCATTTTATTTTATAATCAATCAACAATATGCAGATAAAACCTAAAAATCAAAAAAATAATGATTTTGGAGACCAAATCAGAGCTTTATAATAGAAAATATGCTTCTGAAGGTCAGAGTCATTGTTAAAGAACTGTCACTGAAAGAGAGCATGCACCACTAAAATTTTATAGAGGTCAGTGAACCTGTACCAGGCACTAGTTTAGAATAGAAAAGAATCAACTCTTCTTTATTCAAGGAAAAAAAAATAATAAACTTACAAATTTATTAGGGACTATTTTGTCAAGAAAATGGTTCTCAAACTATGCTTTTATGAAATTAAAGTGGAATAATATTCATCATTTTTTGCCACCCCAAATTCCAGGATGAAAAGAACAATTTTACTCGATTTTATTATTTTTTTTTTTTTACTAATTTATTTTAGGCTTGGGTGTTATGTAGTTTACTATTATTTAAATTAAAACTACCAAAAATGACACATTCTGTTGGAAAAAGTTACTTATTTTAGGATGTATTTGTCAATAATGCATGATGTTTTACCCAGAAGCCCCACAATTTCTGTACATCTTACTCTGAGCATGTTTGCTACAGGGAAACCAAAATTATCATAGAAAGAAAATGACACTATAGAGTTGGATTTATAGGTACCCAAATTTCCGAACTATCTGTGAGAAAGATGTGAAGATAAGTGCAAGATGAAATAGGATATACAAGCTTTAATTATAACAATAAAACATTATAGTTGGATGCCAGTTTTCTGTTTTTCATAATAAATTTCTAATGAATACTTTGTAAACTAGATTATTAGCTTCTCTAAAGTA